GCATTATTTATAAATTGAACAATATCCCCAACAAGATTTTATAGCTCTGTTGAATGAATAGCATTACTTATAAATTGAACAATATCCCCAACAAGATTTTATAGCTCGGTTGAATCGAATAGCATTATTTATAAATTGAACAATATCACCAACAAGATTTTATAGCTCTGTTGAATCGATTAGCATTATTTATAAATTGAACAATATCCCCAACAAGATTTTATAGCTCCGTTGAATCGATTAGCATTATTTATAAATTGAACAATATCCCCAACAAGATTTTATAGCTCTGTTGAATCGATTAGCATTATTTATAAATTGAACAATATCCCCAACAAGATTTTATAGCTCTGTTGAATCGAATAGCATTATTTATAAATTAAACAAACCTGTAAACCTTCTACATTTACTATATGCTAGATATATACACACACGTGTATCTACCGTTCACAAGAGGTCGTTTATTTCCCCATAAACTAATCCTAACTTACGAACAATATATAAATATCAGTCGGGTATATAAAGATATATTACATACAAATGGGCATAATTTTCTGTACTTTTACAAATGCGACTCGTTGACAAGGAATTATGATAAACGTTTACAAGAAAACACGTGTTGATGTTTGTGTTGTGTGTTTTTTTTCTGAACCTCCTACATCTTAGATTATAAGAAGCAAGTCTACATGTGTATGTGTATAGCTATCTACATACAAGGGAGATAAAGAGAACTCCACGAAAAGTTTCTTATCGACAGTACAAAGCTTACAGTTGACAAGGAAAAGTCATTAGACGAAGAGCCGCCGTTGTGGCAATAAGATTCTTCCTCCATGGTAGAAGTTTCGATAGCACGAGAACATCAGAAGGATGATAACCACGAGTCTTAGATACGGCTCGGGTTTCTTTTTCCCGTCCAGCTCTTGTTTGCCTCCCCCCAAGCACTTAAAAACAAGATACGTTAACGTTTGTTTGTTTTTTAACATATCTCATTCTGACCTACACAGATGGTCTGTACAAAGACCAAATGAAAACTTCCTGCTCGACGTAGTTATTCTAACACATCTTGTTAGGTCAAAATCTTTAACACATTCACACAAATTACTTAAAGGTTCTGTTTCAGATCTGTCCTTCGTCAGTACTCAGACTGTAAGTAATATGTGTGAATGTGTTAAAGGTTCTGTTTCAGATTTGTCCTTTCGTCAGGACTCAGACTGTAAGTAATATGTGTGAATGTTTTAAAGGTTGTATTTCAGATCCGTCCTTTCGTCAGGACTCAGACTGTAACACATTCACACAAATTACTTACAGTCTGAGTCCTGACGAAAGGGCAGATCTGAAACAGAACCTTTAACACATTCACACAAATTACTTACAGTCTGAGTCCTGACGAAAGGACGGATCTGAAATAACAGAGAATTTTACTTTCCTAACTTCGCTTGGAAATGAAAGAAATCTAAGTAAAACACAGTTCTACGACAGAACCAAAGGAACAAGCAAGCTACTTTTAAAGATGTAATAAAGATTTTATCCTTATTTATTACTTTTTAATAAAACTTTAGCAAAAGTGATTTGA